CCAGCCCCAACCTAAAAGATCAAGTTGACATAGTGGACAGCACACTGTGGTTCCTAAGTCTAATGTAATCATAGGCAATGTTAATAGAGGCGTCGCAGGCTGAGGGAGGTGACAGGCATGCTCTGCTGCAGACCTGTGATGTAGGAGAAGGGACTCCAGGCCAGGAGAAAGGGGTCCTAGACCTTCCTCTCTCCTCAGTGACCATTCCCCAGACCACCTCTTCTCTGTGGCCACAGACAGCTCTGAAAGCAGTGTCCTGGGGCAGGGAGGGAGGTTTGCAGGGAAGATCCCTGAGTAGTTGGTCCGGAGGGAGCATTCCTCTTAAAACATTACAGTCCTGTCTGCAGCCACTCCCCTGGCCTTGATGGTCATTTGTCTATTAATGTCCCACTTCAGATGATACCTCCGATGATACCTCCAAGCTTTGCTATCGGACAGGAGGTGATTGGCAAGAAAATTCTACCTAGAGTTTTAAAAGATTTATGTATGAGAGAGAGTGCGCACTTCCAATCACTGGCTCACTCCCCAAGTGTCTTCAATGCCAGGGCTCGGCCAGACTGAAGCTAGGAACTCCATCCTGATCCCCCACATGGGTGTCAGGAACTCACATACTTAGGTCATCACCATTGCTTCCCAGGTGCATTAGCAGGAAGCTCAATTGAAAGCAGAGGTGGGACCTGATTTCAGGTCCTCCAATATGGGCTGTGGGCATCCCAAGGGGCAGCTTAACACACTACACCACCACACCCTCCACTTTGATATTATTTATTTATTTACTTACACATTTATATGCTTATTTGAGACACAGAAAGAGACCTTCTATATACCATTTCACTCTCCAAAGGTGGGAAATAATTAGGGCTAGGCCAGGCTGAGGCTGGGATCAGAGAACTCAATCTGGTCTCCCCACATGTTTGGCAGGGACCCAACTACATAAGCCATCACCTGCTGCCTCCCAGGTTGCACATTAGCAGGAAGTTGGAACTGGAAGTGTGCCAAGACTTGAACCAGGAACTTTAATTTGGGATGAAAGTTTCCCAGCTGGCACTGTGGCTCACTAGGCTAATCCTCTGCCTTGTAGTGCCAGCACACTGGGTTCTAGTCCCGGTCGGGGCGCTGGATTCTATCCCGGTTGCCCCTCTTCCAGGCCAGCTCTCTGCTGTGGCCAGGAAGTGCAGTGGAGGATGGCCCAAGTGCTTGGGCCCTGCACCCCTTGGAGACCAGGAGAAGCACCTGGCTCCTGCCTTCGGATCAGCATGGTGCGCTGGCCATGGTGGCCATTGGAGGGTGAACCAACGGCAAAAGAAAGAGCTTTCTCTCTGTCTCTCTCTCTCACTGTCCACTCTGCCTGTCAAAAAAAAAGAAAGTTTCTCAAGAGGCATCTTAACCACTGTGCCAAACACTCACCCCCACCTCAGTTTTTAAAGAAAGATAAGCAATTCCATTTTTTTTCTACTACCCATAAATAAGAGTATGGATAATCTCAATTGTTTGTTCCAAGCATATTCCCTGTTGCCACAAAAAGAATCAACTTCAAATAATGGTAGTGCTGTGAGTCACAAAGCAGAGTGAAAAGAACCCATGTTCTCACTGACATCACCTGCCACTGAATTTATCGACCCTAGGAGCACTGTGTGTCTGACTCTCCTCATTATTCAAGCTGCTTTGAGATGAGCTTTTAGTGACCTGAACTCAAAACATCCCAATGAAAACACCATGTACTCTCTACAAGCTGTTTGTTAGAAGGATTTTGAACTATCCATGGCCACGTAAGAGGCCACTAAAGAGTTGGACCCACAATTTTGTCTTAGTACAGATGTCCTAACTGAGGACAAAGACCACCAGGATTTCTTGTTTGATTCATCTTACATTTGAGGAAGGTACTGTAGTGCCTAAAAAGGGGTGCAGGAACCTCAGTTTTCCCACTCAGCTGTGTGGCCGAGAAAGGTATTTAGATTCTATGAGCTCCACTTTCTCACCTGCCCATGGAGAGTATCACAGTGCTTGTTTAGAGGGTTATTGTCGGTATCAAAGGAATAAAATGACTCACGTGTATTAGAGTTTATTCCAGCTATGAGTAGCACACAAAGTAAATATTTAAAAGTGTAGGTTAGGGGCCAGCATTGTGGTATAATGGGTTAAACCACAGCCTATGACTGGCATCCCATAAGGGTGCCAGTTCTAGTCTTGGCTGCTCTGCTTCTGCTGGAGCTCCCTGCTAATACACCTGGGAAAGCAGTGCAGAATCCAAGTACTCAGGTCCCTGCACCCAGGTGGGAGGCCTGGATGAAGCTGCTAGCTCACAGTTTCATCCTAAGTCCTAGTGGCTGCAGCTATTTGAGGAGTGAACCAGCAGATGGAGGATACCTCTCTCTGACTTTTCTTCCTCTGTAACTCTGCCTTTTAAATAAATAATGTCTAAAAAATAAAAACACCTGTAGCTTAACACTTCTTTCACATATAAGGATTCAAAGATATTCATTCCAGGAGGGGCTCATTTGCCTTGTTGCCTCATCCATAAGGTTCCCTCATGGGACCAAATGGTTCCTGCAGCTCCAGTCATCTGCTCTCCATCCCTTTCACAGGACAATAGCAAATAAGAATAGCATGATTCTACTCTAAGCATATTTCTTAGGGTTGGGCATTTCACCTAGCAGATAAGATGCCCCTTTCCCATATGAGTGCCTAGCTTTGACTCCTGGCTCCAGCTGCCAATTCCACCTTCCTGGTGATGTTCACCCAGGAGTTGGCAGTGATGACTCAAGTCATTGGGTCCCTTTCATCCTGATGGGAGACCTGTATTGGGTTCTTGGCTCCTGATTTAGGCCCAGTCCCATCCCAGCCCTTGCAGAGACTTGAAGAGTGAACCAACAGATGGGAGTTTTCTTCATGTCTACCTATCTCCTTCTCTTTGCCTCTCAAATAAAATTTTTAAAGAACATTTCCTGGGAGTTACACATCATGGCAGCAGGTGTTCTGAACTGAAAAATCAAGGACTCTTTTATGGGAGCACTCAGCAAATCTTTGCAGTTACTATCCTTGTGGTTAAAGAACTAGTTTATCAGGCCAGAACTGTGGCATAGTGGGTAAAGCCACCACCTGCAGTGCCAGCATCCCAAATGGGCACAGGTTTGGCCTGAGAAAGCAGTCGAATATGGCCCAAGTCCTTGGGCCCCTGCCCCCATGTAGGAGACCTAGATGAAGCTCTGGACATTGTGGCAATGTGAGGAGTGAACCATTCAATGTAATACCTCTCTCTCTGCCTCTGCCTATGAAACAAATGAAATAAATCTTAAAAAAAGAAGAACTAGTTTATCAGGATCAGGAGGAATGGAGCTTGAATTCCTCCTGTACCAGTTATCTGCCATGTGACCTTTGACAAGTCCTTAAACCACTCTATGTAGCAGTGCTGCTTATGTGTTTGAGATCTGCATTTAGCTCTTTTCTTCAGGCATTCCTTTATACCCTCAGCATTTCTTTATAAACTTGACTTTTCTGTAACAAGCCTTGCAGATCACAGCATTGTAAAAAGTTCTTGTCACTGCCTGAGAAAATGTTTCTCAACCTTGTTCTTTTGTGTACTGATACAAAGAACATGTCTCAGCATGCAGTTGAGGTTCCAATAAATCAGAGGGATGCTCAAATAACAAGCAGCCTAGAAAATACACAAAACAGCTTAGTCTAAATGTGCTCATCTTCCTTGGAGAGGTAAGGCAGCTAACTTTTATGATCATATGGCATGGAAACATAAAAATAACTTTTCATAAAAGGCCAAATCCATGTAACATGAAATAGAGAAGATGGTAGACAGATAATTTAGGTTTGTTGTTGTACGCATAGTTATATGGTAACCCAATCTAAGTACAAATAAAGATATGATTGAATGGGTTCACAGTCAATTCATTTTTTTAATAATGGAAAGCTTAAGGATAGATCAATGTTTCCAGTAAAATCACTGTCTGCTTTTGTTAGAATGAGAATGGAAGGGAGAGAGGGGAAGGAGAAAGAAATAGTGTCTGTATTTGTAGGAAGCTTGGGAATCACAGCTCCAGTGAAGGAGTGAGAGTCCAGTCTTGGTGTTGTAGAGGAAGTTGCATTTCCCTCTCCCATGTCCTCCATTCAACCCATGGGAGAGGAAGCTGAGTGCAATTAGAACATATCTGATTGTCTTCCAGAGAGAGTTTGCTCTGAAGTTATCAGAATTGCACATTGCGCTTTTCCATGATGAATGACTCTCTCAGCTGATGACTCATCAGCAATGCGGTGAGTAGCTGGACCCTTTGGTAGACCCAACAATATGCCTTACCAGGCAGTTATCATTAGTCAAAACCCAAGTAAGAATATTAACAAAGTATTCACAAAAAAGTGTCCAATAAATCCAAGCTTGTGAGTAAGTACACAATCCTGCACAAGGGCCCCCTGATCAAAAGAGCGCATCTCATTCCCTTGTCACAGCTCTAACATTCTGTTCCTCATTTGTTATTGTGGCCCAGGTAAATGGAGTCTTACAGTAACATGCAAGCATTAGCAATATAAGATTGGCATTTCACAAAGAACAGCTCAGGGAGAACAGAATTTATACATCCAGAGTCTAGAACCCAAAAGGTTTTACAGGACCCAAGATGTTAGCAGGAAACAAAGGCCTAGGGAAAGTGTTCTGAATGTATTACAGTTGGCAATGAAGCTTTTGTATAGAAATAACAGCAAACCTGATTCAAGTGGCTGAAATGTTAACACCAGATAAAAAGGAACTTCAAAAACTTTTCACATGACATTAAACAGAAACACACACAGCACACTGGCCATAAAGGCCATTTGGGGAGTGAACCAACAGAAAGAAGACCTTTCTCTCTCTCTCTCATTATCTGACTCTGCTTGTCAAAAAAATAAATTAATTAAAAAAAAAAAAAGAAACTCACACTGAAAAATACATTCAAAATCAAGATCTTGCACCGTATGTCCTGGAACTCAACCACTGCAAACATGAAGATGAACTGTACCTGTATCTTTGTGGGGAATCAAGAAGCAGGACTGCCTGTTGCTCAGCCACCTACACTCACACCTGAGCAGTTTCTGGACCTGTAGGGAAGATGTTTTAGAAAGGGAAATATGTGATCAATGATGCCATATTTCTGACACCCCCACCTTCCTTATGAGCACAGAAGCCATCATTTACTTCCTCTCAAAGTATTTATCTTCCCCATATACAACTGATAGCATTTGTTGCCTATTCTTTTATCAAAAAAAGAGGCACTGGGCTGGCACCACGGCTCACTTGGTTAATCTTCTGCCTGTGGCGCCGGCTTCCCATATTGGCACTGAGTTCTAGTCCTGGTCGCTCTTCTTCCAGTCCAGCTCCCTGCTTTGGCCCGGGAGGGCAGTGGAGGATGGCCCCTGTACCCGCATGGGAGACCTGGAAGAAGCACCTGGCTCCTGGCTTCGGATCAGTGCAGCACCAGCCAATCCAGCCATTTGGGGAGTGAACCAGTGGAAGGAAGACCTTTCTCTCTGTGTCTCTCTCTCACTGCCTATAACTACCTGTGAAATAAATTTAAAAAAAAAGAGGCACCGTATTCCAAGATTTTGTTTTTAAGTCTATATCTAGAACCCTCCGCGCCTGGGTTATTTTTGACAATTCCATGCAATTTGAGTTTACAATTCTGGTGCATAAGAAATGTTGTCAAATTAGCATCAACAACATATTTTCTAAACCAGAAAGACTTGACTGGAATAATGATCGTGTTTCTTTTTTTCTTTTCTTTTTTTTTTTCTTTTTTTTTTCTTTTTTTTTTTTTTTTTTTTGCTGGATTTACACTGACAATTTATTTTCTCAAATGTTTGCCCTTACTTGATTATAAAGGTGATTCTTAGTGAAATGTTACATAATTTCTAAGAAGAATGAGAATTTACTTTAACTGGAGGACCTAATGGAAAGCAGTGTGCAGTACATTGCACGCATTCCAGCCCAAGTTTAGCTAATTGGTAAGACAGGCAAAACAGGGCCTGAAGGCTGGAGCTGGCCTCACCTCAACAAAAGGCCACAGCACAGTCTACTCTCCCCAATCTCCCTCCGTCCTCTCCACCCAACCTGGGGAGAGGCAGACTGCACGCAAGGAGATGGAGAGGAGGCTCTGGAGCGAGCTGAGGTCGCTGGTGCAGGGACGGGGCCTGTCGCCGGTGTCCGGAGCCAGCCCAGCCCGCAGTGGTGGGGTCCGCAGATGGAAGAGCTCACTGGGGGGAAGTCCAGGTCCGTCTGTAGCTGGTTCTGGCAGGATCCATCCGCCCCACTACCGCCTTCTGGGAAATCTGGCCCCACACACTCACCACTTCCCGCTTGCGAGGTCTCAGGCTTCCTCTTCTCAGAGCAGAGAAGGCGGAGCCACCACGGGGACGCCCCACCCATTGTAGGCGGGACGCGACTATGACACAGGGATCTCGGGAGATGACGAAGTTGTCGGCCACCCTCACCGGGGCCCCTGATTGGACAGTTGCAAAGCCGATAGGCGTGAGGGGTGTCACAAAGACTGTAGCCAATCAGCACGCTCGCTGGCGCAGTGGGCGTGGGAAGGTTGTTGCCGGGCGACGGGAGTGCGGGCCGGGTTTGGGGTCTGAGGCTCCCTGGTGCCTGATTTCCGGGCGGGGTCGCCGTGGCCTCCGTGTTCCTCGGGGCGCTCGGGACCTCTAGAGTTCGCCGGGAGCTGCAGAAGCCGCTACAGGTGAGTCACCGCTAACTGTGGTTCATCAGCTTCTCTTTGTTTCTTCATATCCGGAACGATTTCTCTTGTGGGAAGTTTCTGTGATGTTCGTTGGAACGATGTTTAAAGATATTGCGTGGTTAATCCTCTTGGTTCATTTCTCTGGTAGATACGTGTTTTCTAGTCTGTCTATTGTCTTTTTAATATTTCCTATGTGTTTCTTACTGTTAGTAATGACATTTGAAAGAAAAGGATTATTTGAAAGGCAGAGTTAGAGAGAGAGACAGACAGACAGACAGGTCTTCCTTCCACTGGTTCATTTCCCAGATGGTCTCAATGGCCAGAGCTGCGCTGATCAGGAGCCAGGAGCTTCCTCCAGGTCTCCCACGCAGGTGCAGGGCCCAAGGACCTGGGCCATCCTCCACTGTTTCCCAGGCCACAGCAGAGAGCTGGGTCAGAAGTGGAGCAGCTGGGACTGGAACCGGCGCCCGTATGGGATGCCCCGGTCATGACATTTTACCCAGTGATCTCGTTACCCGCACTTGTCAGTTGTCTGTAGTTCGGGATGACACTGGATTGTCTGTATGTAATGGTGTCATCTGGGTACATTGACAGAGTTACTGGTTTATTTAGGGTTGATGCTTGTTGTTGTTGTTGTTGGATTTCCCTGTTAAGAGAGATGGGGGAGAAGGCAGGCATGGCTAGGTCTGTTCCCAGGGGAAAAGCTTTCACTGATCCTGTGTTAAGTAGTTGCTGTAGGTCCATTTTAGACTATCTTGATCACATACAGGAAATCACTCTTTTTTGCGATTTTGCCAGAAGTTGATCTTTTTTTTCTGTTTGGATACTGAATTTTGTTAAATACTTTCACACTTAATCTGAACGAACATGTAATTAACTCACATTTTCAACCTACATGGATGATTTACAGGGTTGGCTTGACAGTGTGGAATGCTCTTCATTTTTTAATGTGTCTTGCTTGTTATTGATCTATGATATTTTCCTATATGGTTGAATTCATATAATATTTTGCTCAGGATATCACCTGTTTATGAAACAAATGCTCATTAATTTCATAATCTGGTATTTTTTGCATCATATATACAACACTGGCGTCCCAAAAGTAATTTAAATATATTCTCTGTTTATTCCCACTTAAAATGAGCTTGGGAAATTTAAATTTAATTTTCCTTCTTAAAAATTTAGAATATTCCATAAGTTTGAGCCCAAAATTTTACTTGTGGAACTTTTGTCGTGGTTGTTTTGGCTTTTCAAAAATTCAATCAACTGATTAAATTATGTAGTTTTTTTTTCTGTTTCATGCTATAGTTGTGTTTTGGGAGACTGATTTTCAAAATGTAACAGATTTTGAACTCTAGAGTCATTTTTATTTCTAAGAATTTAACAATATCCTCTGAGTATCTTGGTAAGTTCTGAACATTCTATAAAGAATGTCTTTATTATAATTTCTTGAAATTGGTTATTGGCTTATTCATTTTCGTAACTTTTAAAATATGGTCTTCTTTACATGTTTCTGTAGTACTTTTGTGACTAGAAACATTTCATTGATGTCTGTTGCATCTGTGTCCTGCCTTTATTTAATTATTCTTTCAGCATTTTTCCTCTTTAGTTCTTGAGAAGGTAGCTGAGATTTCAGTGTCCTAACATATACACTTAAGGATTTGCATTTTCTCTAAGCACTGTATCCATATCCCCTTAATTTTCTCATATATTTGCAGACCCTGTAAATTTGGACCCTGACTGTGCCAGTGTCTCCATCCCCATGAGCCTGCGACCATACCAGGCTTCATGTATCTCCTTTCCTGTGCCTGAAACACCATGTGTTTTCTGCAGTGTCACTCTCCATAGAACTGTGACCTCTCTTCACTGTTGTATGTCGTCATTTGTAAAATCTCTGTACTCCTTGTCAGCCCTCAAAAGTTTTATTCCTCGTGCCTGCAGCATGTGCCTTCATGAGTCTCCATCCCCTATGTCTCCAGCACCTCTTTTTAAAAAAGACTTATTTGAAAATTACATAGAGGGAGAGACAGAGGCATAGAGAGGCAGAAAGAGCTTCCATCCACTGGCTCACTCCCCAGTTGGCTGCAATGGCCAGAGCTGGGCCTGTCTGAAGCCAGGAGCCAGGAATTTGCAGCTTCTTCTGGTCTCCCAGGTGGGTGGCAGAGGCCAAAACACTAAGGCCATCTTCCATTGCTTTCCTAGGTCATTAGCAGCAAGCTGGATCTGAAGGGAGCAGCCAGCATACAAACCAGCTCCCATATGGGATGCCAGCATCATAGGCAGTGATGTAACCCACTGCATCACAATGCCAGCCCCTCCATCACATCTTTCCTTGAGTGTCCATCTGTGCCTGCATCCCAAGCCAGCTGTATGTCCTCCAGCCCCTCTGCACAAAGCCATGATCTTCCATCAGTTATCTGCATCTCTACTCCAGAGTATTTTCCTGCTCCTTACATGTTTCAGTAGTACTTTTGTGACTAGAAACATTTCATTGATGTCTGTTGCATCTGTGTCCTGCCTTTATTTAAATAAAGCAGTATTTTCCATGGAGTGACTTCATTGCCTGTGCCTCCAGCTCATGGCAGCCTTTAGATACCTCTCTGCCCTTTGCTTGAAGTCATTGTCTTCCTTAGGCTTCTAGAACCCCTATGACTGCAGCCTAGGCTTTTCTCTTGTATCCCCAGCTAAATGCCTGCACCCTAAGCATCTCATGTGTCTTCATCTCCTGTTCTCTTCCCAGGGTCTCCACCCACTTTGAAGGTTTGGTTATGTGTTAAAGAACAACTTGCTTTTATATGAGTTTTAGCCATTGTGAATAAAGGTGCTATATACATTTTCATGTCAGCTTTTATCAAGGCCTACGTTTTCACTCCAGCTGTGAAAATATATTAGAACGTGTATGGTGTATGACACAGTGTTGGATTCCTAATAACATGTCAAGATGTCTGACAAAGCATCTGTCCCACAATGCATTCTCACCAGTAATGAATGAGATGTCCTGCTACTCTATCCTTGCAAAGCATTTGTAGTGTTTATTTCTAAGTATAACCATCCTGATACATGGTGTATCCACTTGTTGCTGTCTAAATGTGCTCTCCCTTCGTGTACAGTACATTTCTTTTTCTCAGAATTCCCTAATATTCAGAATGGTTTATATGCTTATTTTAATATATGCATTATATGTGTGTCTCTATATATTCTGTCAGTATTATAATTTTTTTTGACAGGCAGAGTGGACAGTGAGAGAGAGAGACAGAGAGAAAGGTCTTCCTTTTTGCCATTGGTTCACCCTCCAATGGCCGTCACGGCCGGCACACTGCGCTGATCTGAAGGCAGGAGCCAGGTGCTTCTCCTGGTCTCCCATGTGGGTGCAGGGCCCAAGCACTTGGGCCATCCTCCACTGTACTCCCTGGCTACAGCAGAGAGCTGGCCTAGAAGAGGGGCAACCGAAACAGAATCTGGCACCTTGACCGGGACTAAAACCCGGTGTGCCGGCGCCGCAAGGCAGAGGATTAGCCTAGTGAGCCGTGGCGCCGGCCAGTATTTAAATTTGTGGACATTTATTTTCCTGTTACTGAGTTCTACAAGTTTTTGTTAAATTTGCATACAATTCCTTCAAGTGCATATCTTTCTTTTTTATAAGATTGATTTATTTATTTGAAAGGAATAGTTACAAAGAGAGAGAGACATAGTGAGAGAGATAGATCTTTCATTGCTGGTTCTGTGCCAGACTGAAGCCTGAAGCCTGGAGCTCCATCTGGGTCTCCCATGTCAATGACAGAGGCCGAAGCACTTGGGTCACATTCTGCTGCTTCCCCAGGCACATTAGCAGGGAGCTGGATGGGATGTGGAGCTGAACTGGTGCTCATATGGGAAGCCAGTGTCACAGGGCCTGGCTAAAACTGCAGTGTGACAATACCAGCCACTGTTTTGTCTTTGATAATAGGCATTCTAACTGGAGTAACGTGGTATCTAATTGTGGTTTTGATTTGTATTTCCCTGTACTTGTTGGCCATTTGTGTGCCTTTCTTTGACAAATGTTCATTTAGATCTAATGTCAGTTTTAAAATTGTTCATTTTTCATTGAGTTTTTAAAATGTCTTAAATGCATGTACATATTCTAATTATTCATCCCTTACTAGGTGTATAGTTTCTAAATATTTTCTCCAATTTCATAGATTGTCTCTTTGCTATGTTGATTATTTTGTTAGCTATGCAGAAGCTTTTTAATTTGATAAAATTCCATTTGACTATTTTTGCTTTTTTCTTCTGGTGCTTTGCTGTCTTATCCTCCAAATGCCTACCCATTCCAAGGTCCTGAAACATTTTTCTCCTAGTAGTTACAGGTCTTACATTTAAGTCTTTAAATCATTTTGAATTGAGTTTAAAACTTATCTATTTGAGGGGGGCCAGTGCCATGGTGCTAATTCTCTGCCTGCGGTGCCAGCATCCCATATGGGCACCGGTTTGATTCCCAGCTGCTCCTCTTCCAATCCAGCTCTCTGTTATGGCCTGGGAAAGCAGTAGAGGATGGCCCAAGTCTTTGGGCCCCTGCACCCATATGGGAGACCCAGAAGAAGGTCCTGGTTTCCAATCGATCCAGCTCCAGCCATTGTGGCCATTTCGGGAGTGAACCAATGGAAGGAAGACCTCTCTCTCTCACTGTCTATAAATCTACCTCTAAAATAAAAATAAAAATCTTTGAAAAAATTATTTATTTGAGAGCAGATATACAAAAAGAGACAGAGAGAGCTCTCATGTTGATTGAC